CCAGCAGCACCAAGTTTCCTTTTTAACACCGCAGCTCCGTTTTTTGGCAACGAGGGAATCCACCAGCGCTGGAGCAAAGGTGCAGAAAGAGCCACGTAACCGCTCAAGGTGGCCACGTCCCCACGTCCGTACGAGCGTTTGTCCGTCTCGCTGTCCCCGCGCCGCTGGGACGGGCCCTTTCCCGGGCAAGGAGCAAGGGGTTCTCGTCCCTTCACTCTCCCCGCGTGACACGGCACCGGAGCTCGGATTGTTGCGTTTTGGGATTTCAAATTACCATATTCTTCGGACTTTCAAATTTTTAAAATGCTGCTAAAGTTTTATCTTACTATTTAACAGACACGTTTTTTTAAACCAATTTCCCATAGTTACGTTGTTAAATGATTTTTACCTTGCGGTGGCAACAGGTGATACATTTGATTGTACATTTTTTTTTGGTGGAATTTGTATTAAAATGACATCAGAAGTCTTGATTAATTACGTCAAGAACGTTAAATGTTTTAAAACACACAAACCTATGAGAGCAGAGAGCTGTTTAGCAGCAGCATAAGGTGTTAGACCCTAGTGCTTATTTGTTTGTAACAGCATTTATTCTGCTGTAGCCTCAGAGTAAATATTTAGATCTTAATAAATTTGTCATTTTCCTACACAGTGACAATTCTACAGTCCCTCGTGTTTTCTGTACCGGTGCATCCGTAGGGCTCCCAGTTTGTGGGGCTTATTTTTAGGCAAATTATAGCTCATATATTAGGAAAAAGTAATCCTCATGCTCGAAAAACCACGCAAAACACATAGGAAAGAGGTGCTGTGGAGTCCCGGGCGGGCAGCGAGCGCAGAAGGCACGGCTGCTTGCCACAGCCCCGTGCTTTGGAGAGGAGCCCCAAGTGAGAAGGGGGGATCCCGGCGGTTTATCAGCAGCCCGGCAAGTCGTTCTGCCATGAGGCCGCTCCCTTGGTGCCGCGCTCGTCCCACGTGCGGATCTGGGGATGGACTCAGCTGCTGTCACTGTCGGGGTTAGAGCCACGTGTGGTCTCTCACTTTCCCCTTCTGATTTCACACGGCGCGGCGGGTTTCTCTGCTTGGATGCCGGTGAGGCCTTGGACACCAAACAGCTGCAGCGCCGCAGGAGGCTTCTCAAACCCAAATGCTATTTATTCACTTAAACACCCGTGTAACGGGCACGGAGAAGTGCTGCAGCGCCCACCGAGCCCCCCTCGCTGTGCCCGGGGGACGGCTCCTCCCTTGGCCGCCGGGGTCCTCCCGGCTCGCCGGGCTGTGGCCTCGGGGGGTGCGGGACAACTTTGCGCTCGGCGAACAGCTCGCTCGGCGTCCCAGCTGCTGTAGCAGCGTATGTTCCACCTGTCTTTGTTCTGTTACTGGTTTTCTTCTGTTACAGCAACGTTTTCATTAAGAACTTGTAGTCATCAGGGTGACACCAAGCAGGTGGGCTGACGGGGTGGGCTGGGGGGCGAAGAGAAGGGTGCAGGCGGTAGGTTGTGGCGTTGGGGGATAGTTACCGGATTTCAGTCTAAAACTTAGTCAGGATTTACGTCTGTACGAATCGCAGCATCGTTAGGACGCGCACGTGGGGAATGAATAAGCTTTGTGGAGGTCATAGAGAATAAAATGACTTTATTTTGGTACCAACTTGTAGAGTTTTGGTGTAATTAGAGTGACGTGACCGGAATTCCTCCCCTAAGCTGTTACGGACCAGCCTTGCGCAGCAGCGGTGGTGTTGGCACTGACCCTTTGCGCAGCTGTAAATAGCCGTCGGCCGTTGGCCGCGCCGCAGCGGGGGGACGTTTCCCTGCCCGTCTCGGCTGGCTGTGGAGCTGAGTCAGCAGCTTTAGCAGGGACCCGGCGCCCCGCGACACGCGTGAGGGTGAAGCCTCTGCTCCGGGTTCCCGTGAGGTAAACGCGGAGCTTGGTGGAGCCGAGGGGCAGCGTGAAAGGCAAAATGAAGAGCAGGAGGCGGGCTGAGCCGTGTGACAGCCTGGCTGAGCAACGGCCTTGGCGGGGCAGGCGCACAGTTTGGGTCACAAAGCCCTTGTTTTACCCGACGAGTGGCCACGATCAGCTGCTGAGCTGGGGGGTGCTGAGCCCAGCGCAGCCGCTCCCGTGGGGGATGCTCGTATGAGGGGTCGTACCAGCCTCACAGCCGCAGCGGGCACAAGAGGCTGCCCTGGAAGAAAACGCCGTCCCTGGCAGGTGCCAGACCGTGTGTAGCACCAGAGAGCAAGAAGGTAAATGGGACAATGGTGGTTTTCTGTATTTAATCAGTTTCAAATCATTTCCAGTTCGACTTTGGTCGCTTTTCTTTAAAAAGAGCACTGATTGGCACTTGAAGAAGCTGCCGCTTCAAGTCGTTGTCTGGATTTGATCACTTGGGCTTTGCTTAAAACACGGTAAGAACATTTTGGCAAGAAAGCGGTGGGTTTCAGTGGGAGCAGGTGCTGCGGAGGGGGGTTGTCCAGAAGGATTTGGTCTGGCCCCTGGTGGAACGTCCCCACCGTGCCTGTAATTGATGGCTGGCTGAGGACTGGTGGATTTTTTTGGGATTGCCACCCACCTGCTGTTTCCCCTGGGGGTTGGACTCCCCAGTTGCCGCCGGGGAGTCACAGCCTGCCGCTGCAGGTGGGGCTGCCCTCGTAGACCAGCGCCCTGTCCCTGAGCCAGCCCCGTAGCTGCCGTTCCCCGACTCCCTGGCCACAGGGCACAGCTCCTGGTTGCACCACCTGGACAGAGAACGCCGACAGTTTGGCCCAGCCCCGTTACACAGACAGCGCCAGTTTCCAACTTGAGGTCTGCCCAGTGCGGATCCCTCTCGTCGCTGCCAGACTGGAGATTCCCCGTGGCAGGGAAAAGCCACCACGTTGGCAGGGAAAAGCCACCACGTTGACAGCGACCAGCCCAGGGTGCTGTTTGTCGCCATCTGCGGTGACACGAAGTTCGGGTCTCACCGTGGCAGGGGGTCAGCTCGCCCAGAGAGGCAGAGCGAAGCGTGCTGCGTTGCGCGAGAAACACCGAAAACAGGGAGGTTTCGCCTTACCTTCGAGCAGCGGCGATGTCTGTGTGGGAAGCGTCGGGCCGAGCGGCGTGTTCAATTAAAAGAGCTCCTGTGGAAGAGCAGCAGGCGTCAGCCTTGCCGGGCTCCGGCCAGAGCAGCGCGGGCTGGCGCGAAGCGGGGCTGGTTACGGCTCAGCAGCGCTTGCCGGGCTGAGCCCCGCAGGTTGAAAGAAGGCAGGGACCGAGCTTGCTTTAAACCTCCGCCCTCTACCCAGCACGTGTCGAACCAGGCCGTTCTAGGACCGACTCCCAGCCCTTTCCCGGTCTGAAACCCATCGGTTCTTCCCACTACCTGCGTAGATCCTTGCGAGGGTGTAGGAGAAGTCTCTCGCTGCTAGCTCCATGGTCGCTGCCCCCCCGGAACCGGCCGCTTGCATGAACTGCGCAAGGCGGCTGAGGGCCCCCTGCACTTGCCTCACGGCGGGTTCCAGCTTCGCAGTGCTCGAAGCCAGCTCCAGTTTTTTCTGCAAAGAAAACAATCACAGGAAAAATCACGGCGTATTTACCTCGTGTAAGGAAACGGGGCTGGTGAAATCCTGAGCACACCCAGCGGCTACTGACCAAAAGCTTAAAATCGAGGTGGCTGCGACCGGCACTGCCATAGGTGGAGCGGCCAGAGCACCGCGCGGCAGCAGGAACAACCGGGACGTTGCCAAAAGGAAACTCGCGGCCTTGCCTTGAGGACGGAGAATTCCTGGGAGCCAGACCCAGCGCGGGGCTGTTTCTGTGCTGGCTTTGCAGCTGCACGTGGGGACGAACTCACTGCCAGGCTGGGGGGACAGCTCGGTCCAGCCCACGTGGAGAAGCAGCCAGCTCTCGCCCGCGTAGCCGCCACCGACCCCCCCAGACTCTGAGCCCCCCCCTGCAGCACTTACGGACCTTTTGGCCACCCCAGGCCCCTGCCCGTGCCCAGGGCTGGCCCTGTCCCCATCGGTGGGCTCAGCCCAGGAGCCTCGCGGGCTGCGGTAGCGCCTTCGCAGCAGCCAAGCCTGTCTGCAGCAGCAGCACGAAAGGATTTCCTCGGGCAGAACGGCAGAAAGGAACCGCGAGGTACTGAAGTAGCGCAGCCGGTGGTAGGAGGTGCTTTTCGCTAATTAGTCTCATTTGCAGGGTATTTAGGAAGCTAAAGGCTGTCGGCGTCGGCTGCGCAGGGCTGGGTTTTGATGGTTTTGAGGCTTTCGGTGCTGAAGTGGTCGCGCGGAGCCTCTTGCTGGTACGTGACGTGCAGCTGATCGGCCCAGCAGAGCTCCGGGCTGCGCAGGCCGAACGCAGCCTCGCGTTCCGCGCCACGTCTGCGCACGACACCCTCTGCCTAACCGCGGCCCTGGGTGTTCTGACTGTTCATACAAGAAAAACACAATCCTCGGTGGCTGCCGTTCTGCGCTCCAGGCACAGCCGGGCATGAGCACAGCGTGTGCTGGACAAATACAAAACCATCAGCACTCAAGCGGTTTAGGGTCTAGTGCCAAGATAAAAGTCCAAAGAACCCTCCAAGCCCACGGAATGCTAATCAGGTGTTTTAAAGGCAGCTCGGAGCTGGTTGCTAACAAGGATCAAAGACCCCAAAGGCACAACCGTGTTCCCAGCAGCTCGGGTGGAAGCCAGCCCCGCACAGGCCAAGCACGGAGACGACCCCGCGCTTCTGCCAGCGCCCTGGTGCTCGCGGCTGGGGTACGGCCAGCGCCGTCCTGCGCTGCCTCCGTGAGGTCTAGAGAGCGGGGCAGGATGGACCAGGAACATAACGGCACCCTTTTAACCTTAGGGGGGAAAGACGACACTATTCTCTTTGCTCTCCAAGAATTTACGCTTTCTTTTTCTTTCAGACTGCGCTCGTTCTTCTCCTAAGTGAAAGCACAGCCTCTCCACAGCGATCAAGCTGGGTTTTTCCACACCCTGCCCTGCGCTGGAGAGCGGGCGGCCGGCGAGCTGCTTCGGGGAGGGCGCTGGAGGCAGCACCAGCTCCTCTTTTCTCTCCTGCATCTTGATGTGCTCCAGTTCCCCGGGGGGTGTAGCTGAGGGGAGGCACACGCACACGGCGTCGCCGTGCCAGCGGTACGGTTCTTTTCAGGCTGAAATCATCAGAGAGCAGAAGAGCTTTCGAGCTCTGGTATTTCTGATTCCTTCGGTTTTCACTGAGGAAATTTAAGATGCTGCTCATTTGTTTGCTCTCGCTAGCTACCGGGCAAGACTGGCAGGATGGTTTTTACTTCAAGAATAATCATGAGTGTTTAAAAATACAGCAACAGGGAGAGCAGCCAAAACAGGGCTAGAAGCCCAAGTCTCGTATTAATGTTTCAAGCGAACACATAGTTTCGCTTTAATAACCAAGATTTGTTTCCTGCTGTGTTAAAATTGCGGTTATGGTCTGAAAAAGACCTGAAAACCCTGTCACGTGTCTTAGATCTTATGTCTGATTTCCAGCCAGGGTTTCAGCCCTACCCAGGCATTCTTGGTGCATAAGACAGTGGATCCTGAGCTCTGCAAGATGCTGCAGGACTGGTGTTTGGAAATGCAACTGTGCTGAGATGCGACCAAATTTAACCTCAAGTGACTAAAATGCAATAATCAAATAATTCCCCGGTGCTATTTCAGAGTCACTTTCCAGATTGCAGTTGAATTCCAAAGTACACCCCATGCTCTGGCTCAAGCTAATAAATTTGTAGTGTAACATGAAGTGACTGTCCCTGGGCAGTACCCACCTGAAAGTCCCAGCACGGCTGAGCTGGAATCCAGGACTGTCTCTCACCACGTGCTCCCCTGAGACTTTGCAGACTAACTGCCTCTGGACAGGGTGGTCTGCAACAGCCTTGCCTGTGTATCAAGAACCCTCAAATTTCAGCTTCTCATAAATCACATCGTGCAAGGATGAGGACGTTCTCTCTGTTTCCCTTTTCCTGAGGATAATTATGACATTGGGTTCCTGCTCCTAGATCCCAGAACCATCAGCATGAGGTATCCCACCATCAGCACGAGGTATCCCACCATCAGTGCGAGGTATCCCACTGTCAGCGTGCGATATCCCACCCTCAGCAGAGGCAACTGACACAGGATAAAAGCAAAAATAGGTGGCAGTGGGGTCAGGGGGGAGGTTACCCCGAGATACGACCGTCAGAGAACCAAGTGCTGTGCTGTGCTACGTACTAACGCTGCTTTCTCCAAAGCAGCCTGTCAGGGGGCACAAATCCTGCAACCTGAGAACCTTGACGGACAAACATAAAAGAAATTGTCCTGGTTTTGTGTGCATCAATAAAAAGGAAATGGATTGGAGCAGTAAAAAGCCCTTTACGAGGGACGAAATGATTTCCTCACTAGATGGGAGTGGGAAGGATGTTTCAACGTGAGCCAGACTCCCAGAAAGAATTTGGGCACCTGGAGCTCAGAAAGAGGTGGTTTATCAGCCGTGAGGGAAGCCCTGACTCTGGTGTAGAAACTCAGCGCGTTGCTGCCCGGCGCTGCAGAGGCCCTCGGCAGAAATGCCTCCCAGCTTGCCAGGGCCCGCGGCCGAAGGCGTGAGGGCAAAGCTTTCTGACGCGTCCGGGTGACGTGTCCCAAGCGCCAAGTCTGTTAAATCCAGCGCCAGCGCATCAGCCCAGCCACGCTCCGCGGAGACGGGGGCAGCCTCAGCGTGGCCTGATCAGCAAACGCAGTGGCACTGCTGGAACTGGGAGCCCCGGAAAGGCAGCGCTCGCTTGTTCACCCTCCGTGATTTGTGGGAGTGCGAGAGCAGCGATGAGCTTGTGGATGAAGAAATCCGGAAATTCGGCGTTAACTGCTGTGCAGGTACCTGCTCTGAACCACATTGCCGTGCGCTGGCTCTGGGGAGACCTTGTAGTGGCCTTCCAGTCCTTAAAGGGGGCTACAGGAACGGTGGGGAGGGG